GCTCTTGGCTTGGGCTTGGTTGCCTTCGGGGGGTCTCCTGATTCAGAGTGAAACTGCACTCTCCGGCTCTTGCTAAAGCCAGGCCTGAATCACTTTGGGGCAAGATGTGGGCAACACAGCCACCCTCTGGCCCTCCCTGTCCTCAGAACCAGGCCTCCCTGGTAACAGATGTGCTCCAAGCGCAAGTGAGGGCCTTGCTGCCGACCTCGCGGGGGTGGGGTGGGGGGTCGTGGTCGCAGAGGGCGAGCCCTGGTTCTCTGGGTGTGGGTTTGGAGCAGGCAGAGGGAAGCCCAGGAACGTGCCCCACGTCCTCTGTGTCCTGCAGCAGGAGCCTTTGCATGGTCTCTAGCCACACGCTTCTCCTCATCTTCTACTTCAAAAGGGCTTTGAAATGCCTGGGGTGAGTCTGTACCTTAAGATGGAAATATAAACCTTCCTAGGTGACAAGGACATTCAGCTACAAGAAAGGACATACTTTGGGAGGGTGCTTTGCCCTTCCTATCAAGTTTTCCTGGTTGCTCCCTCCACCACCCCACCTCCACCTCCTCTCCAGGAGGGTTTGTTGGTCAGCCTCCAGGGGTTTCCTGGGAGTGACTCTGCGAGTCACCCTGACGATGTCACTGTCCTCAGTACCTTCGCCAGTGCCTACAGGGAGAGAGAATGAGGGCGATGGCTCTCTTCCTCTTCTTACAGGGCCACCAAAGCTGCTGAATGAGGGTTTCCCCCCCCCCATGACCTCGTTTGACCTGACACCAGGCTTCACCCTGTGGATCTGGGGAGACACAGTTCAGCCCGGAGCCGTGTCCTCGGAGTCCCCCCACCCTGGGCTCAACTCTTTAGCTCTTGGGCCTTCCCCCTGAGCTGGAAGTTTCTGGATTACAAGAGGCACAGTGTCCACCATCTCCATCTGGATCTGCATCCCAACCTGGCCTCCCCAGGTCGCCCTCAGCTCAGGTGGGGAGGGTGCAGGTGTGGGGGCCGGTGCTTGGAAGCCAAGAGGCTTAGTGTGCAGAGAAGACCCAGGGCCGCAGAGTCTGGCGCTCCGTGGTCTCCTCTGGTGGCTGATGGCCCTGTGGGAACCAAGCCTGCAGGTGGAGCTGCAGGAGGCTGAGGTTCTGGGTCTTTCCGATGACTCCAGTCTCCTCTCTGAGGAGCTTCCTTCTCTTGGACAATCAGATTTAGAGTCCACACGATGCCCAAGGCATGGGGATGTAAAACATATGGTAGGTTCGTCCACCAACAGCAAGGGCGGTGGTCAGCGGCAGGGCTGTTTTATTACAGAAGCTGGTAAATTTGGAAAACATCATTTGGTCTGCTACACGTCTAATTCTCCATAATAACGAGAGCTTTGAGAGGCTCAATATACATACATTTGGTTGGCTTAAGCCCTTGAAATTTTCTGGTGCAATTTTAACATTTCTCATTATATCCAAGTTCCTGTCTTTAGTTTGTAAGTCATGTAGGGAAACATTTTCTTTCTGATAGACTTTTCCATGGTCTGGAATTTCAGCTCCCAGTGTTGGAAGAGGATGCCCTCCCCTGACCCCGTTCATGCTCGGGCTATGCAGCAGAGCTGCTGGAAGGGTCTGTGTCAATCATCTCTCCGTGGGGCTGGCGGGAGCTTGTGCAGGGTACGCTGTGGGACTGAGATAAGAAAACAATCAATTTTTCATAATTAAAAAAATTTCCTATTTAATTTTCAAATAGGAAGGAGAAGGAAGGGTTTTGTCCAGTATTTGTACAGACCCAGTCTTAAAATCCGGGCATGACATTAACTGAACTCACTTGTTCAATCACGCAGTGCTTGTTTTTTGGAAAGCTGTCCGTCACACCCTCTACTTGATGCTGGCAAGAAGAACTCAGTTCCAGCCCTCCCCGATTGGTCCCAAGGGCAGATGCTGACAAAGTGCAGAAGGGGGGGAGGGGCACCACCGGGACTCATCCCTGCTCTGACGAATTCCCTGGGTGACTCTCCAGAAGCAGCGTTAAGACTGAGTTCTGGTTCAGAAGATGAACTGAGTGTGAGCATTTATCCTGCCGTCTTCAGTAGCGCTGTCGAAACAATATTAAGTGTAAAATTAAATGCAAAAAAAAAAAAAAAAAAGGACACGGTGAAGAGTGACCATTAGGAGCCAAGAGATTGTCATGGATGTTCAAGAAAATAGGCTGAGTCGGGAGGGCTGCCATTGGGAATGAGCCCAGAGAGGGCAGACATGGCAGCTGCTCCTTTCCTCCAAGCCTGGGGGAGGGAGGTGTGGGGCACTTGCAGGACTGGGTGCTAGCCAGGGTGTTGGCCCCAGATGAAAAGAAGAGAAATTAGAAAACTACCTACCAGGAAGGACTGGATCATGTGTGTGAGTTCTGACACACCTGATAAGCATCCTGCTGCTGGTACCCAGGTGGGGCACTGCCCAACTTGCCTGCTTCCCACCCTTGAATCAGAATAAATCTGTGAACACAAGCTCGTCCGCCTAGTACCCGGGCACCCGAGAAACAACTAGGAAGAGGGTGCGTTTCCTGTCAGTGATTTATATGACTCCACCAAGACCTGTTTTTGTAGATATTAAAAAGAAAAGTCGATATCATCACACCCCTAGAAACCAAATGGCAGAAGAGAAGGAATCAGTGGGAACAAATGCAAGGAGACTGGCACGGACAGAGACAGCCTCGGGAAAGTACCATTGAGGTCCAGTGTGATGTCCTAAAGTACTTTCCCTATAAAAGAAGAACCAGAAACCAAGAAGAAAGAACAGGAAAGAGATGGTTGCCCTGCTGGGGAATCCAGGCCATGACAGTTCTGTCTGCTCTCCTCCTTGAGAAAATTCCCAAACAAAATGGGCTTTTTATCAGATTCCATCAATTGATCAAAACGTTGTGCCTTGGGCTGGTCCAATCTTGGCAACACAGGGGTTAAACTCTGAAAATGATGACTCACATTTTTTTTTCTTTTTTGGTACTAGAGATTGAAGCCAGGGATACTTAATCACGGAGGCACATCCCCAGCCCTTTTTATTTTATTAGAGACAAGGTCTTGCTGAGTTACTCAGGGCCTCGTTGAATTGCTGAGGCTAGATTTGAACTCATGATCCTCCTGCCTCAGCCTCCCGAGTCGCTGGGATTATAGGCATGAGCCGCTGAGCCTGGCTCACTCATTTTTTAGTTGAGGTTTGATTGTATTGTATAAACTTACCCATTGAGGAGTCCTACCCCCAGAGGCAACCATTCCCCAGACCTCTGGTTCCAGGAGTCGGCTCCCTACTGTCTGTCTCTGTGAATTTGCTTCTCCTGGGCCTTTCATGTAGAAGGAGTCATATGATGTGTGACCTTCTGAGTCTGACTTCTGTCACGTAGCATGGTATTTTCAAGGTTCCTTCAGGTTGTTGCATGAATATGTACTTTGTTTCCTTTTACGGATGAACAATATTCCATTCTATGGATAGAACACATTTTGTTGATCCACTTAACCAGCTGATGGGATTTGGTTACTGCTTTTTGGCAATTACGAATAAAATTGCTATAAACATTTGTATATACAAATTTCGCACAGACATTTTTTTTTTCAGTTTTCTGAGGGATATTTATACACCTACAAATGGAATGGCTCTATGGTAAACGTATGGCAAATTGACATTTACGTTTTTGAGGCAATGCCAAAATGTTTTCCACAGTGACTATGTCACTTTACATTCCCAGCGGCCGCCTGGGAGGGGTTCCGGTTGCCCCACATCTCTGCCCAGGCTTCCAGCGACGGCCATCCCGGTGGGTACGCCGTGGTGGTGGCTCCCTGTGGTTTCCAAGACGGAGCCTGCTGGCCATCTTTTCCTGCCCTCCCCACTCGGTCAGATACTTGACGCTCTCAGCCTTCTATCCTCCAGAGCAGCCAGAGGGGAGAACCTAGGCCCCTTCCAGGGCTTCCTGGGACGTGCCACACTGTTGCCCATGGCCTCGGCCTTGTGGGGCTTAGGAACCCGGCGGAGCTTCTCAAAACCCTCCCCCACCCCCGCGTCTCCTGGACACCTCAGCTTATCTTTTTAAGCTTTGGGGCTAGCTTCGCGTTTGTCCCACTGATGTCCCCGTGGCAGGCAGCTGTCATGTTAAACAAATGCTGCTGGATGCTTCTCAAGAACGTCCCAGGGAAGAGCTGTCCCCACCGAGTGAGCTCCGGAGGACAAGCCCTGGCAGCACAGCCTGCCGGGGAGCTGCCAGCGGCCACACCCAGGAATCCTAGGGACGAGGCTTTGGGGAGCACCACGTCTATTCTGCCCTGTCCACGGCCGCTGGACTTCTGGTGGTCGTGGCGACTGTGAACTTTTGGTTTCCAAGGGGGAAGGGCAACAGGGAATCCAGCACCACCCAGTTCCTGGTGCCTCCAGAGACTTTAATAAACGTCCTTCGCACCAGCGGGGCTTTGCGTAGCTGCGGGAGTTCCAGAGGCCTCATTGGGGGCATCTTGTGCAGGGTTGTCATTGCTCCTAGGGAGAAGTGGGTCTCTCCTCTGCCATTCCTGCTGGTGCCACTCTGGGGTTTCAGATTCTTGCCGCAGCAGGGCCTCGTGGTCAAGGCACTGAAGGATTTATTGTCGATCCCAGCAGATGTTTTCCTCCAAGCCACGCAGGCTGTGGGCTGGGGATGGGAATTGCCTCTCACACCTACAGGGTGGGTCTTCCTCAGGGAAGCAGAGCCACAGACCCCCTGTAGTTTGTCCCTGTGACAGGACTGGTGGACCTTGGTTCACCAGCACGCCTCAATGTCTCGGGGACAGTTGCAATATCCTCACAGTCTCCACAATCCAAGGATGCTCAAGTCTCTCTTATAAAATGGTGCCGCATTTGCAAAGAGCCCACACAGGCCCTCCTGTGCATTTTGAATAATCTCCAGATCACTTATCATACTCCATACAGTATAAACACCATGTAAAGAGTTGTTACACTGTTTGGGGATAATGCAAAACAAAAGTCTGTAATATCCAGTACAGATAAGATTCTTTTTTTTTTTTTCAGATGGCTGAATACACAGATGTGGATCCCACAGGTTTGGAGGGCTGGTGGTATTTGACTTCTGGGCTCAAATGCAACCCAATCAGCCAATCAAGCCCAAGGTTTCAGCAAAAAGGTTTTGATTATAAGATATACCGATTTTTAAAAAGCACTTGATTTCTTCTGCCCTAGAAGACATTCTATTAATGTCATTGAGTGCACAGGTGCGCTAAAAGCATTTGATAAAATTTAACATCCACTTATGAGTTTTTTTTAAAAGGAAAGTCAGCACACAAGAGTTATAAGAAAACTTTAATATAATAAAAAAATCTGTTAAAAAACCAACTTCAGATATCATCTTAATGGTGAGACCTTAAAATAATTCCTATTGGAACTCAGGGGAAAAGAGAAGCCGAGGGTACCCACCCCCATAGTACAATTTAACGTGGTACAAAATGTTCCAGCCACAGGAGTAAGAACAGGAAAAGGACGTGTTAGAGATTGGCAGCGGGGGACAGAGAGTTTTTGTTTGTTCTTTATTTCACATGTTAAGAGTTGAGGCCGAGGGCTGGGGTCGTGGCTCAGAGAAACAGCACTTGCCTATCAAGAGTGAGGCCCTGGGTTGGATCCTCAGCACCACATAACAAAATAAAATAAATATATTGTGTCCACCTACAACTAAAAAATAAATGTTTAAAAAATACTCAAAAATACAGAGCATTAGAATTAATCTGACTTAAGTAAGATAATAGTTTAAATTCCAAAAAAATTGCATTTCCATACACTTTGTGTCAGTTATAAAATGTTATTTAGAATAAAAATACCATTTATGGCAGCAACAAAACAAAACAAACAAGAATAAACTCAGCTCCTTAGACATAACAAAGATATGCAAGATTTTTATAGAGGAAAATGGTAAAATTTACTGATATTCAGGAAAACCTAGAGATACGTCTGGTTTATGGATAGAAAGACCCAATATCATGAAGGTGTTTATTCTCTTAAAAGTGATCCAAGGGTTTAATGTAATTCTAATTTTAAAACCCTAAAAAGGATTTTTTCTGTAAACTCAACAAGATGACTCTAAAATTTTCTGGAAGAACCTGAAAAGCCGGGGAGGTGGTGGCAGGGTGGGGGGGGCTTATCCTTGGATCTCAACACATCTCAAATGGAGCTGGCGGTTCACGTTTGGCGTTAGCTCATGATGGACGAGCAGAACTCCGGGACAGAGTGGAGGAGCTCCAGTGATTGCCGTGTGTGGGGGGACGTGCCTTTGACAGAGCTGGTGATGGAGGAAATGGAGGAGGCATGGACCATTTGGCGCATGCTCTTGGGGTAGCTGGTTATCCACAGGGTGAACTGCGGGATCAGATTTTTCTCTTTGCAAAGTCAATCTCAAGCAGAGTATATGAATATGTAACAATGAATCCTATGGTTACGTACAATTATAATGCCCCCAAAATATGAAAAAAAAAAACTCCAACAGATTCAAATCTTAAATGTTAAAGTCAAAACATGAAGAATAAGATATAGAAGATGATCTTCCTGGTCTCAGAACAGAGAGGGATTATTTAAATCCTAAAGGAGACTGACACATTCAGCAGCATTATTGTTTATCCAAACATGACAATGAAGTTTAAAAGATAAGTCGCAAACTCTCAGAAGGTATTTTCAACACATGACTGACAAAATATTTAGAATATATAAAAATTTCTCAAAAGACAAAAGCAAATCACGTAAGAGAAAAAAAAATGTATAAAAGACTGTGTTCCAGAGGAAGAAGTGGGAACAGCCATTGATCCACAGAGACATCCCACCACCCCAGCACAGGAAGCCACGTGGTCGTGAACACTGCAGGTCTCATCGATACCCCACCCACTGACGAAAACTCATCAGTGATGATGCAGACAACCCATTTATATTGCCGGCAGGGGCTAAAGATGGCACGACCCTTTTGGGAAAAAATTGACACTATTTGATCAAGTTGAAGATGCACAGACTCCAAGATTCAGCAATTCTTCTCCAAAGACAAATCCTTATGTACATGAGCACCAGGAAATGGAGAGGAATATCCACAGGGACCTTCATGTGGCTTAAACATATACTGGGGGAAAAAATCAAAAGGTCACTGACAAGAGAATGAATAAATCAATCGTAGCCTATTTACACAATGCCGCCCGAGCCATTGGCTCCAGCCGAGGTGCATGTGGCCTCATATGGGGCAGAATGTGTCACGCATAGGGGAAGGAACACAGCAGATCGTCACTTTTATACAATTCAAAGCCACGCAAATCCTAGCAATGCATAGAACCACACCTGTAGCCAAGCTGTAAAGAACAAGGAAGGACGATAACATGATTCAGGTGGCACTTACCGCTGGGGAGGAGGCGGGGCATGGGCCGAGGTAGGCACACGGGGCACCTCCCAGGGACTGACATGGTTCTTCAGCTGGGCATCCGGGTCGGGTTCTTCCTTCTATCATCCATTCAGACGCTACCTCCTGAGCTCTTTAACGCTCTTCCCCGTGCCTGCTCAGTGTCTCGCAGAAGGAATTAACAAATGACCTAAGTTCAGACACATCTTTGAGAAAAGACGAACACCAAGGAAAAAGGAAAGATTTTTAAAGCTTTCAGAAAGAAAAACACACAAACGTGTGCTGCTATAAAGAAACAAGAGTCCTGCTACAGAAACACCAGACACTAGAGATGATACGGCACACCTACCCTGGTGTGGTACCCACTCTCACGGGTACCAGCAGGGAATTGTGGGCCAGAATCATACATAGGCCTCTTCCTTCTGCAGCGATTGTGTGTGTGTGTGTGTGTGTGTGTGTGTCCTGTCTCTGGTGGAAATTTAGGGCAAATTTTTCTAGTCTTGGTCAGAAATAAAATGTGGATGGCCAGTCCTCGTTCCAGTCCTCGTTTGTGGCTTCTCTTCTGGGCGGAGGTGGTGCATCTCAGCCCCCTGCAGGACCCCGCCACACTGTGACTGCAGTGCAGGGATAGAGTCCGGGGGGAGAAGACCAAGAAGCCAGCACGGGTCCCACCTGGCCACACAGACCTAGCTGCAGGTGGGCTGGGGAGGTGTTAAAGCTGTCACTTTCTCTAGCGAGGCTTGCGAGTTCTCTGCCATCACCAACAGCCCTGAGGCCAGGGATCTCCTCCGCAATTCCTCCATGAGCACATCTCAACCCTGGTGTGACCCTCAAAGTGTCCCCTGGAACATGTGTCCACCCCTCCAAGTGGTCTAAAGATGGGATGAATGGCCCTCGGCATGGGCCCAGCGGATCTGAGCACGTGTCTGTCCCCCCACAGTCCCTGAGGGTGAAGACGGGCCCAGGTGGCCACTCTGGCTTTGCTTCCAGAGCAGTTGACTCTTGCCCTTTTGGTGTTCCGTGGGCCCCCTGCTCGCCCAGGTGGTGGGGACCACGCTCTGAGCTCACTCTCACACTCTGCTCTGACGCTTTTCGACTCTCACGGGTCCGTATGGGTGAAGGACTGAAGTTATAAGACGTCCAGATCCTGATCCCCAGAATGAATCGCAAGCTAGAATATTCTAGAAGGTGTGCATGTATCACCTTCCCTGGCAAAAAGAACTTTGAAGATGGGGTTAAGGATTCTGAGGTGGGGAGATTGTCCCAGATGACCCGGGGCAGGTGGCAGCACAAGTCACACACGCCCCTGTGAAGGACAGAGGAGGCAAGAAGCCAGGAGAAGGAGGCCTCAAGAAGGACAGAGGGTCACAGTGTCACCATTGCTAGCTTAGAAGGTAAAAGGAGCCATGGGCCAAGGAAAGCGGGTGGCCTCAGAGCCGGGAAAGGACAAGGGAGCAGCCTTTCCCAGGGGCCTCCAGAGGGGACACTGCCTTGTCACGAGCCCAGGGAGGAGCAGCTTGGACTCCTGGCCCCAGAACTGTAAGGCAGTGAGTCCCTGCTGTTTTGAGCCACTCAACTGTGGTCATCGACCTCAGCAACAGCAGGAGGTGAGTACCATGGCCTGTCCTTTCCGTTGGAATGTGGTATCTATTTTCTTTGGTACTGAACCAAAATGTTCATTTGAAATAATTTTGAAATCAAAATTCTGGGTCCAGTCAAACTATCATGAAATTTAAGGGAAAATAGAGATCCTTTCCTACATTGGAAGTAGCAAAACCATTTACCTCCTACATTAAAAGGTGCATTGGCGCGCGTGCGCGTGTGCGTGCACACACACACACACACACACATCTATTAAGAACACACCTGTAAAACAAAGAGGCGTCCACTAAGAAGGGCTCCAGGTGACTGTGGAATCATCGAGGCGTTCGAGGGAAGAAAGCGTCAGGATCACAGCCTAGCAGGTGGCCTGGAAAGCAGGAAGGGAAGTAAGAGACTGAAGAAGAACAAGTTCAAGAACAAAGCGCTTCTGCTCAATGAACCCTGGCGGAGCAGCAGGAGAGCCGCAGCTGCACTGAAGAAACATGACTTTTCCTTCAAAGAACCAGGAACCTCAGAAGAGCGCAAGCCCACGGGAAAGCGGAGGCAGGTACTGTAAATCACCTGTCCAGCCCCTTCCAGCCTTCCTGGTGCATCCCAGTGCAGGGTTCTCAAGTGTGGGCCTCGGCCAGCACAGCAGGCCCACCTAACAATTGTTAGAGATGCTAATTTTCAGGGCTCTCCCCAGATCTGCCCAGGCAAAATCACTGCCTCATTGTATGTGGGAGACAGGAAAGCAAGTCCCCCGCCCCCCCCACCCCCGGGTTCATCCATGGGCTCATCTGGTGACTGTCCCCTGCCAGGCCTTTGCTTGCCCTCAAGATATGGCTGAGTATGTGGCAGGGTCCTGCAGGGGGCTAGCTTCAGCGAGGCGTTGGTTTCTGCAGAGGGGCTGGCAGACGGCTCGGCCTCTGGCCCCCTGCTCGTGGGCATCAAGAAGATGGGCACAGGCCATCTGTGTTGTTGGCACAGACTGTGCGTGAGACGGTGAGAAACTGGGGCCCACAGAGGGGGACAGTGGCTTGTGATCCTGGATGGGCAAAAGGCAGCGGGACCCTGAGACCAAGAGTTGGGCTAGTTCTCCTCTCCCTGGTCAGCCCCTGCTCACGGGGACAGCTTCCTGGTCCTCAGGGTGTGATTCTGAGAGTCATTTCTGGAAGCAGGGCCTCCAGCCTCCCAGCAACACTGCAAACCATCATTCCAGGACCCAGCTTTCCCTTTGCCTAAACCAGACAGAGTGGCTTCTGCTTTCCAAGACTGAACCTCAAGGAGAAAATGATCCTGGCTCAATCAGTTGTGACCTAAGGCAAGACGTGGCACTGGACACAGATCAAGTGTAAGAAAAGAGAATCCGTGGAGCTGCATGCAAGGAAAGTCCCTCAGGAATGTCCTTGGGGCGTTCAGCTCTCCTGGGTAAGTCACACACACAGGTCCTCATTCCCAAGTGTCAGTTGTCCATGCTTCGCTTTATTAATCGCAGGCAGTGGACGTGACTCTCCGCGTTCTTCTATAATTTGATGCATTAGGAGAGAAAATAAAGGGGGATTTTATGACCCAGTTTGTGTGATAGTCCAGAAAGCCGGGCTGAGGGGCAGCAGGAATTGCAATGAAGGATGGGCTACCTGAGGACACAAACTGCACAGGACCACATGACATGGTAACACCAAGACACGGCTCTGGGTCTCCAGCTTCTCAGGCATGGACCATACACAAGCCCCTGTGGTTGGCTGTGTGGCTGGTTAATAATTTTAAGCATCGTATTCAACCCACTGAAGCTTCCCTGATTCCTTTGCAGAAGACACTGATGGAGACCACACAAGGTGACAGTGACCTTGAAGTGTGGGATAGGGAGGACCCCAAGCGGGAACCTCCGGGGGAAGCTCCCAGTAACATGGATTTGTGTTTGCTCCTGGGTGACACACACCACAATAAGTGACACACACCACAATAACTTACAGAAACAGGTGTTTGTATAATGACCATAGGAAGCCTGTTGGCTTTGGATTAGCCTACGGGCAATTAGGTTGCTAGTTCAGGATTTACCTAACAAGAGTCACAGGTAGGAAGCAAATTTTATATTCTAAGATCTGACCAAAGTAATGAAAGAGAGGGAGGCTAGGGAGATGGAGGATGGGG